GATACACTGGAAGGTAAACGGTCTTATCAGAAAGTAACAGCCTCTAACGATTCAAAGTGACACGGTTTTTGTGGAGAAAAAGGAGGACACTACATCGGTATATTAGTGAAGGCAACGTCATGGTTCGTCAGGGCGAGGCGACGGCGACATCTCAAAACTTGAAGACCAAGCTAGAAGATATATGTTTTGCAATTGCTCTACTTGGAGAAGATGGACCGAATCCAAGGTTCGCCACATGTCGTAGCCAGGCCTTTATCTGTGACCAAACATTTCTTTCTAGAGCGGGCCGACTCGAAACACCCCTTCTACTGATCGATTTTGATATGGCAAAGAAAATGAAACCAAAATCAGGAGAACATCGTCAGATTCTACTGTAAGTTTGTCCTTATTACCAGCTCTCTAAGGCTCAGTGTATATAGGGTATGCCATACTTTATGGCTCGTTCCGTAAGAGCCCCTGAGATCCTCGACGGGTCTCATGTATTTCATCCCATGCCTCAGTTGTCTTCCGGAATGGTTCATTGTCAACAATGCAATGAAGCGCGTCATCAGATGTTCAAACCGAATGAACGATTCTGGAAGGTCCTGGAAGACTCAAAGCCACTTGAACAGTTCCACCATAGGCTTCGTTATGATGCATAATCCGTTTTCTGGCTACTCTTGTGGTGGAGTATGCTCCCCAAACCATCCGGGGACAAGAATGTGGACGGTTTCATTCGGAACTTCCGGTGGTCGAGCTTCACTTGTGGATCTGACTCAGACCCATCCTATGACCCAAGGCACTCTATCGTTGGTTGTGATGGACTACTGCCAAACCTTCCTCATGCTGAGTACAGGGAATTGGGAATACTTCTGCGTAGTATGGCATCGTAATTTAAAGAGACCCCGAAATCTTGGTCGATTCGGACATCCGAAATCATGACGAGTACCTCCATGAATCGCTCCAACGCCTCATTTTCGACTTTCTCTCCAAACAACTCAAAGCCAAAAGCAAATTTCTCACACTAAAGAAGAGTC